TTGTGTTTAATCGTTTATTTTTTTTACTCCATTGTATCATATATATCCTTCTATCTATATTTTATCGAATAAAGATCGACGTAAAATCTATGACAAACGGTGTTCCTCTTTTCGCATACCACCTCCGTATTTATATACGTGTACATTATATGCTACCGAGCGCGCGAAAATGGTCGGTCGCGGCAGCGCGTAACAATGGCCGGTCGCGGGAACGCGACAAACAGAGAAACGGCGAGCGAAAGCGAGAGCGCGATACGGGAGTGGGGCTCCAGCGCGAGATGCGGTTAGGAACGCGAGCGAGCGAGCGATAACGCCAAGCGTCAGATCGAGTGCGAAAGCGAGCGGTGAAGAAAACGCGATATCGTTGAAACATTTATTTTCACTGTTAATATTTTATTTGTAATACAATATTATATAGCATATTATACATAAACTTCTGTCATTTAATAACATTTTTTTTTCAATATATCGTTTTTCACATTTTTTCACATTTTTTTCACATTGGGAGACGCAACATACGGCGGCGGGGACATCGTCGTTGTCGGTCACTGTTTCTTGGCAGCTCAGATTCGGAGAATTCCCCCCCTCGTCGTCGTCTCTCTCGCGACGACCCGCCTCTTCGCGCGAGTCCAGCCGCGCGATGTCCCTATGCATCCCATGAAGTTTCGTCACGAAGAATCTGATCTGGTTCCGAGATTTTTTCACCCAGGAAGTAATGAAAGCCCTACGCAAAAATTACAATTAATAAATATAAACAAATATAAATATGAATAATAAATATAAATAATTGTAAATAATTATAAATATACATAAATATAAAATTTATCGTTTGATTATATTATAAGAAATAATTTCGCGTTTGAAAGCGATACTCACGTTCTTTCAAGCATTGCGGCGTCCTCGTCCACGTGAACGGTGAGATGCAAAAAGGGAGGCACCTTTTCCGTTAAGCACTTCACGCGCTGCTGCAACTGCCGAACCATGTTGCAATAATCCTCAATCTCCCTCGTCAGGGCTGTATTTTGATTTTGTAATATATCACACACGCATTTTAATTCGTTAATTTTCTCCATCGTCTTGAGTTCACTCGAAGACTGCTGATAGACTACGCCCGAGTCTAGTCTCGAGTTCTTATATGTGGTAAAAAAAGGGTGTTGCCCATGAGTGTTGCGATAGAAAAATATACTAAGAATAGCATTGTATTGCGTGAGAAAATTATAAATCGATGAAAAATACGCATCGAGGAAAATAAGTAATGCATTGTATTGCGTGAGAAAATTACAAATCGATGAAAAATACCAATCGAGGAAAATAAGTAATGCATTGTTTTTATCAAGCCGACTCATCTGCCGGACTCAATAGCATTTTATTGCGTGAGGAAAATATAAATCGAATGGAAAATACGCATCGAGAAAAATAATTAACGCATTTTTCCTTATCGGGCCGACTCATCCGTCGGGATCTTCGACGCATTTTTTTTCACGCCCGAGACCCCCCCGCCGCGCCGCCACCTATCCGAGTTGTCGCTAACGAGCGTCATCGCGTAAACGTTCGCATTCGGAGCGCTCGTCGAGATCGCGCTCAAACCGCGACGCGCCGTCATTGCGGTTTCACCGTCTCTCTCTCGCTCTCGACGATGCGGCTCGCGTACATAATCGCGTTAACCGCGTGTTTTAACGCCGCGACGTGCATCAATTCCACAATTACGGACGACAATTACGCGTTCACGTTCGAATACCTGCTGAAATACGGATATCTGTCCAACGACGTGGACGCGATTCCGGCTCAGAGACGAAACGACGTTTTTCGCAAAGCCTTCAAGGAGTTTCAGAATTACTACGATTTACCCGGCGACGGAACGCCCAACAAAGAAACGCTGAAATTCATGAGTAAACCGCGATGCGGTTTCCGAGATATCCTGAAGCACGGAACGAAAGCGAGCCTGTCCAAATGGCCGAAGACGCACCTGACGTGGCATTTTCACTTAGCCGACGAAACCGCGTGTAGCACGGCGCAGGCCGCGTTCGACCTGTGGTCGCAGCATTCGGCATTGACGTTCGAACGCTCCGAAATGCCGAACGCCGACATTATAATATCTTGGCGACGCCTACTACACTATAACACGAACATCAAGGTAAACGGAGCATTGTGCTCGGACAAATTCGACGGCCCCGGCAACGTGCTCGCCCACGCGTCTCTCCCGACGGACCAAGCGGGATTCGTTTCCGAGGTGCACGTCGACGGGGACGAGCCGTGGCACATTTACGTCAACAAACATCCCGCGGATAAGTTTTCCCTGCATTACACGTTGACGCACGAGATCGGCCACTCCCTTGGATTGTTGCACAACAGGCGCACAACATCGGTGATGTTCGCGATACAGCCGGACCAGCAGTATCCGGTGAAGCTCGACCAATACGACATCGCCGACATTCAACGTTTGTACGGTGAAAAAATTCAGAACGATAAGCCGCGTCGGACGCCAGCGCCGGCGCCACCGCCGCCGCCGTCGCCGGACCTGTGCAGCCTCGATCGCGTGAACGGGATATTGATTTTGGAAAATTGAATGTACATCTCGTACAAACGTTACGTTTGGTCGGTCGATCTGGACGGTAGGACGTACAACGGACCTTTAGCCTTCTTGAATCACATGAGCCTTCTTCACGACAATTACACGCGCGTGACCGCTGCCTATCAATCCCCGTCCGGCAATCTCATGGTGTTCGTAGATAATTTGGTATACTTGGTTCAATATCCGGAATTTAGTCTGCGGCCAGGTTGGCCGAAGACCCTGCAAGAACTCGGATTTCCCGAAAACGCGCTGATCAACGGAGCGGTGAACACCCACAGAGGACGTTCCTACGTGGTGTTCAACGGTAACGCGGTGGGCGAGATAGACGAATGCGACCAGGACAAGAGAGTCGCCAAATTTACGCCCCTCGAGGCGACGTTTCCCGGAATACCGAAAGGCGTGACGTCGATATTCCGCTACATCGACGGCAATCTGTACTTCACCACTCGGTCGCAGTTCTACAAATTCAACGAATTTACGAGGACCGTCTCGTCGGCCGGTAAATTCGATCTGCGGATACTCAATATCGTCTGCCCTAAGGCCGAACTGCTGCAGCAGTTGCGCAATCTCCTCGATCGAATCGTACGCCTCAACGATAACTCGCTAACGTCGGCGAGCGATTATTGGAACGATGACGACATCGGAGTTTGGCTCTCCAATTTCCGCATCCGCCGAAGGAAGTAGACTACCGCGCAAATTTCCCACACCGCGTCACGCGCGACATAAGTCAAATCTTTCCTACTTATACCGACGTGTCCCTTCCAAGGCATCAGTGTCGCGTCGTCGGCCGAATACGACGCGTCGGAAAAAAAAATCAGAAAGGAACGGTTACCGCGGCGCGAAATGTTCTCGACGTTGGCCAATCGACCCGCGCCGAGGAATATTTCTCCTACGGAGACGGTGGATTCGGAGGCGAACGACAATGGCAATAAAAGACGGAGGATCAGTTCGATGGACGATCGCCATTATCTTCCTCGTCGCCAGGAATTGCGTCGCAGCTCTCATCCTCCAACCGACGCGCCCGTCGAAGAAGATCGTCGTCGTCATCATCAGGAGTTTCGTTCCAACTTTCCCGTCGAATTGCCCCCTGTGCGCATCCTGACGACGCGTTATCTGCTGACGACGACTGGCTACAAGTACATAGCCATAGGTATCACGATCAAGACACCGTGATACAGTCTTCATACCACGCCTTCGTACGTGGATATCGCCCTGGGGGACAAACAAGGAAGGGAAATCTCCCTGACGCTCGACATGTGGAAAGGACTGATCGAGCGCAAACGCGACGTATTGTCGTGCATGGAACGCGCTCTTTCCGACGTAACTCACCCCCCCTCGCCGATGTCGATCGGAGGGATGACAATGCGATTCGGAGTGATCAACAACGGGCCGATCGTACGTATAGAGCTACCCAACCTGGCTCGCGTGGCGATGGTGCGCACAACCCTGCTTAAGCTGTACAATCTCCAATTTTGCGTGGATCGCGTCATCCGTGCGCTGAGCGCGGCGACCGAGGAGGTCGACGCTAAGTTTTCGCGCTATTCGGAGATAGCCGCCGCCGCGATGAAAATGGAAACTTCGATTCAGCCTGAGATACAGAAGAGCGATTTCTTCGATCTTGACAACATCGTCGACTGCGAGATAGCCGCGCTATGTTTCGACTCCTTATAACGATGTCGCGTCTACGAAATGCATATATTCGCGCGAGCGAAACAATGTAAACGCGCTTGTATTATTTTTTGAATAAAAAAAAACTATATGCGTATCTCATCTGTGCACTTTCTCTTTCCGTTTCCGCCTTTTTTTCCAAATCCGTATACCCATCTCCGCGGTCGCGGCGATCGCGACGCCCAGTTCGAACGCGCGTTACATATATTATCGCGAATCATGAATTACGGGTCGAACGCGAGGTGAATGAAAAAAAATTATCGCGAACGAAGAGAGACGAGTCGTCTGACCGCGCTTACCCCCGCGCGGTCGCGGCGAGCGCGACGCCGAATTCGAACGCGCGTTACATAAATTATCGCGAATCGCGAATCACGGGTCAAACGCGAGGCGAATGAAAAAAATTGTCGCGAACGAAGAGAGACGAGTCGTCTCGCTCGTTCTCTCTCTCTCGACGCGTCGCGTCGGGGACGGGCGGGAAAAAACCGCGAGACGAAAGGAGGAAAACCGCGATACGAGACCAAATTGGGGAAACGACGAGAGCGACCGCGACGCCGAGTACGAACGCGCGTCGAAAAAAAAAAATTTGTCACGCGTCGATCGAACGACTAGACGATGAGTCATCTCCATCGATCCCGACGAGTCGGGAAAACCACGTGCTGCCCGTCGCCCGCCGCGGGATCGAAACGACCTTCGGACCGAGAGTTGAAAAATAAAAACATGACAAAACGACGACGACGGGCGCGCGACACCCCGCCCCCCCCGCGAAACGAACCGTCCGGAACGCGTCGTTCTCCCCCCCCATCCCCGAAACGTCCGGACGAGCGACCTCGAACGAGTTCGAACGAGTTCGGACGCGCCCGAACGCGCGCGCGCGCGACCGACGACGATGAAAAGAAAAGAAAAAAATAAAACAAACAAACGAAAAATATCGACCCGCGATTCTCCCAGAACCGCCGTCGGTAACGGCGCGAGCGCCGCTCCGAGCACCCTCTCGGAAAATGCTCAAATCCCCGCTACGAGCCCCCCCGTTGGCGGCCCTG